GTTCTTGCATGAGGCCCACTGTATCTGCCTATTTCTCCACGTCCCTTTTGGAGTTAACCCTCATTTTGATTTGGCGGGTCACAGACATTATTTGATCAAACATTTACATACAACAAAGACTGTAAAAATACTGTAGTCTTTATAAAATTAAAAAATAAAAATAGGGCCATTTTATTAATGCTGCGAAGCATATTGGGTAAATCATGACCTTAGCTTTGGCATCCATTATTTTTTAAATAAATTATAAAAACCAAACAACCTACAGTATTTTTTGCAGAGATATTTAGTTTGCATTTACGAGTTATTTGAGGTTGGTGTGAGGTTTTAGATGCATGTTCAACACAATGTGCTTTAACAATCACTTACAAGGACATCTCCCTTTGGAAATCATCTTCAGCATTAAGTTCTGTGTTGGTCGCAGCAGGAACGTCGCCTCCAGCTGCAGAGAGAACGTCTTGGGCAGGTGGATTAGTTAAATCTAACCTCTCCACCCACGGCAGGTCTTTTTGAAAGTCTGCGAGACACACTTTCAAACCGTCCTGCGTGACAACAAATAGATAAAAAGTCAGCAAAACATAAGACATTTAAAATAATCACTGGTGTTTCATTTTCTTTAATGGCATCTAATGAGCTTGGTTTAATAACAGGGATTTTCAGCAGAGTAATAAATCTGAATTACTCACCACACTGTTGACGAACTTCTTATTTTTCTCCACCAGAACATTCATTCCAGGTTTTAACAAACCTTTACTGAAAGCTTCTTGAAGCTATGCAAATAGAAAAAAGCAATAATACAGAAGAATTTATTAGCTTCAATGTGCGGCCTTTGATTTGACCAGAAGAAATGGTCGTATTTTGAGTAGTTAGCTTCGAAGCTAACAGAAAACTCACCTCTCCATCCGATAATTCACTGTTCTCCTCCTCGGACTCCTCATCGAGCAGCGACTCGTCCTCTTCAAACTCCATCCTTCCGCTGCTGCTACTCTTTAAAATGAACAAATAAATCCCTTCTTCGGACACAACTCGTATTAAAGCACAGAAACTGCTCACATGTGTGGAGCGCTTCCACTACACATGGGGAGGAAGTGACGTTAGTGAGTGTTCGTCTAGAAACAAACCTTCGGCAACAACAGGATGTCGGAACAATAGTTCCTACTTGGTAAAACAAATAAATAAATAAAAAAGAATTAAAGTGCAAAATAATTTACAAATATAATACTAATAGATGTAATTATATAAAATAAGATAGGACAGAAAACAAAACATGGGCGAATAC